ACACAATAAAAAGCACTTAACTAAAAGCCTGTCTGAATAAAAATGTCTTAAAATGTTTCTAAAAGAGTGATTTAATAGTATTTCTGTATTATTTCACATTTAGTCAGTTGTACACGTAGTACTTAGAGGACGTGTTAAAATGCTGTTTCTATGCAGGACATACCACATACAGCTCAGTTATTTTTTTGTTAGTGGTGCTCGGCTGTAGCAGTGAAATGAGGAGCATGAAGTTTTGTGTTTACTTGAAGTTAAACACGAAACACTACAGTTAATTATAACTGGTCCTTTGAGGGCCAGCATGCACGCTCATGTGGCCCTCAGTAAAAATGAGTTTGACACTCCTGTTCTAAACAATTCAGTTTAGACTTTTTTTTTTTACAAAATCATTCAGCGTTCACACTGCATTTTTTTTCAGAATATTTTTCTAGCTCATGCTTAGATGTTGTTTGAGGCTTTATGAAAGAATAAACAGAAAACAGTCACATGAGGCCTTGTTTTCAGTAGAGTTCCTTCTTTGCACTTCARTATGAGTGTGTCTTTTATACATAAAGAAAGTGGGAAGTTTGAAAGAAAAATACCAAAGAAAAGCAAAWARACTCTGAAACTTTTTCTTAGAAATGTTCATGGAAGCTCCGTTTGATGATGTGAAGGTTTTCCAATTTTGATCTGTGCAGCTCAACAGATGTCTTCACATCCAGATAAACAAATATGTCCTGGTTAATACAATATCTGCTCACGGCTCCTCAGATTTCCATATTTACAGTGAAGCCTCAACAGTGTTTGATCTGGCAGAGGAAAGAGTTCAAAGCCAATAAAAAATATTGCTAAACATATTTAACATACTGATCAATTATTTCTTCAAAYGCACAAAGTTTAACATGTTTAGAGGTTTTGAAAAATGGCTACACTGCTCAGGCTTTTTAACTAGTTTTTCTATTAATCAAACGATGAAACCATATTTTTTAATGTGGCTTTGATGGGGGKTTTTTTCCAGGTGAATTTGTAATGATTTAGTAATGATCTATTCAACTCTGGATATTTAAAAAATTATATATTTTTGTCTAATCAGCAACTAACAAGCTGCACCTCTAGGTCGCAAGAACATCTGCAATAGTGACGTCAACATACAAAGAACATTCTCCCAAAACAACTGGGGCTTGTTTTTATATATCGTTGATATCTTCCTCTCAGTTATCAACCATTTGCATATCACCAAATGCAAATAACCTGCTGCATTACATAACAGTTTTAAACCAAGATCAGCTTAAGCTGAGAAATGATGGACTTTTAGCCATTTCAGTTGTAGATATATTTCTAATATACACACACGGACAGTCGTGGCCAGAAACATTACCGTGCACTTTTTAAGTGCAGGTGGTTAAAAATCCAAACTTGTACAATACTTGGTGACATAAAATATCTTGCGTTCCTAATGGAGCTTTCACCATAAGTATCCAGAGGCTGTACTTACTGCARAGAAAACAACATTTGTGGAAACTCTTGCCGTCACATTGCACCTCTTCGGCATGATAAACGGTTCCGCGGCACGCTGAACACTTGTTGCCTCCTCCCCAGTTTGGCATTGTGAGTCTCTCTAAATAAAAAGAAAGAAAATATAGTTTGAGTTGTTTCTTCTTCATCAACTGCAGAGTCCAGCAACAGTCCCCCCCACTCATATTCACATAAACACACATCTGAAGAGAAACAGGCGTGTTGCTCGTTGTCGTAAGAGGAACTCTTGTAGCTTTTATTTTATGTGGTTACTCTAATATTTCATATCTTTCTAATCAGAGGGCACGGTTMAGCTAAAACCCACCACTCGCAAGGAAGAGTAAAAACAAAAGCTGTGCAAACAAGGTCAACCCAAACAACGGGGCGTWCTAATACCCTGAGGAATGTTTGCGGGACGCCGTGGCTTTAGGCCATTCGTAGTTTCAGGAGCTGTAGAAAAGGGAGAAGAGCATAACGAGCAGGAATGAAATTAAAGGAAGACACTGAATGCTTTTGAAAAAATGAAGTATTATATTTTGATATTTAAATTGCTTTGAGTTTATTCTTTTATTTTTATTTTTTTACTAAATCGACACGAGATAGAAGGAACTGACTGTTTTTATCTGCATCTCAGTGGATCTGGAGACTTGGGGGGAGAATCAAAGGGCAACTATTTGYGTGAATGCTGAGTCGGCGTTCACAAAATGTTTTTTCCTGTTAGTTTTTGTTGCAGTCTTTGCTGCTTTTACATATTTATTAGCCATTCACATATCAAAATGTTCAACTCTTTCAAGAAATGCATGCTACGGCTTTCGGGGTTAGCTTCTTGCTAAAATTGAGAAAACTTTAGCAAGCCTTTTGATACCTTTTTTTGCTAGTCTTTTGATGATTTTAGCTATCCTTTTGACATGTTAGCTTCTAGCTATTCTTTTGATAWCTTTAGCTAGCCTTTTAATATTTTTAGCCAGCCTTTTGCCCTGTTAGCTTTTCCTTTTTTTTTCTTTTGACAGCTTCAACTAGCCTTTTGATACTTTTAGATTTTAAATAACTTCTCCCTGCTTTTGCTTCTATTAGCTACTTTTATCTATGAGCTAGCCTTTTTATACTTTTTGTTTTTTGCTGGTGTTTTTTGCGTGGCTTCTCACATTCAGCATTCTCACTGCATTTTCCACAAAAATAACTCTATTTTTTTTTCTGAGGCTTGCTGTAATTTAAATAAAGCCTCAAACCAACCACTTGAACACTTGTCTGTTGAATGAAATGATAAAAAATGTTGAATAATAACTATTATGATTATTTACACTTAAAAATGAATTCAGGTTTGAAACATTTTACCAAGTAAAACATCCTGAATAAAGGATCTCACATTCAAGATTGTATCACATGCTGCCTTTCAGGCCAGAGTTTTAGACTGAGATCATTTTGTGTTGAAAAATTAGAGTTGTAGCTGTTTTAGTCAAACCATGAAAGTAACGTTATGTGCTGCAGAAGATAACAGGATTGGACCTGAAAAAAGATTTTCAGCAACTACCACACCAAAGTTTAGCTCATATCTGTAAAACTGACAGAGCTCTTGTAACTCAAGACTGATTGTTTATAGCTGAGTCACTTTTCATGACAAACACAGACATTCATTACAGCCCAAGTTTTATCCCCTTATCAGATAGCTGAGTAAGCACTGTTGTTGTTTACACACATTCAAAACTTTAAATTGCAGCTAATTTTAAGGTTGGTTCAGTTAGCATCATAATAAAAACACAATATTTTGTTACTATTCATCTGTATCTGGCATTATTATTTTACAACTGTTTAATGAGCTACAGCTACATTTAACTTATTTTTAAAACTAGAAGTGTTCTCTCAAACTTCTCAGGTTGTGAGCTACAAAATAACATCAGCAGGGATTTTTCTTCCCCAAATATCACTGGTTGAAATGGATTAAACAATAAGCCAAAAATAAAAGAAAACAACACCCCCAGTTTAAACAGCTATATAAAAAAGATGGTGTTCTATGTTAATAGTAATAATTAAAAAACACATATGCTATTTACATTTTTATTTAATACATTATCTCAAAAACCTAGTTCTTCCATGACTTGCACAAAACTCTGCAGCTGTGATATGAATATTCGGCTAGCTTCCATTAGCTCTCTTAGCCTAGCA